TACGTAAACCAGAATAAGCTATTGTCCCATACTCCCATTTCCAGTTTGGCTTTCGCCATGGACGCTCAATTAACCATGCACAGCACGGTACCGGTCACCCTGCCGAAGCGAACGCCACGTTTTACGTCTGTTAACACTAAGCTGTTAGAGTTTCTAGACGGATTCGCAAAACGAGCACTTTCATTTTAATTAGATGCAAGCACTCGCGTTGCGAGGAGGTTCGTGCGAGGACTGAAAAACCGCCTTTAGGCTATGTGCACACGCGGGCGTCGTTTTCCAGGACAAAAACATTTTTGTCCCTTTAATCGTTTTATACTGTACAAGTTGGAGCTAAGTTGACTCGAGTCATTTACAGCAGAAATCAGCAAGTCGAGTCCGAGTCAAGTCATTTGGGGCTGTTGAATCGAGTAGAGTCATTTTTCGTATAGGACTCGAGTCGAGTCACTGAAAATAGAGTATGACACGTATATTCAAAAATACCAGGCCCGTACCCAGGCGCTATGTGTTGTTCTATGGCTTGCGCGGCCTTTGCGTGGGCCTTTTCACCTCGCGAGGATATTTTTCACCTCGATCGCGAGGTCTTCAAGTGACTAGGAACAAAATGGAGAAAAATGCAAATGATTTTGTCAATTATATTGTTGTTGAGTAGTTTTCCCAACGTGTGCGGTGAAAATACATAGCTGAACTAGCTGCCACGCGAGGCGGTTAGCTCAGCAAGTTTCTCTCGTGTGTGGCGGGCTTAAGAGGTTGAGCCGCCGTCATTGCCACTGTGTCTTGCTTGCGTTTGCTTTTAACTATTTTAATTTGCCACTCAAAATAGCGGAAGTCAACAAGTACGTGTTGTGATGTCACTTGGCACTTGCAAGAGCCCAATACAAATAACCTTCCAGTAACCTTTACCATTAAACATATCTAATCTTATTTGCACATTATTCTCTTTCTCTTAACGACAGAGTTCTGCGTAGTAGTTGTGACAATGTTTTCATTCGCCCTTTCCCATAATTTTCTTACTGTACAAATATGTTGCGGCGGGCAATATTGCAGGTGACACATAAATATTAAAGCTTTTTGTATTGTGTCATGTAATAATAGGATCGCTTTAAAATTTTGCCGCCCCTTATAGTATGTAGTTTTGATACTAACATATACAGTTCATACTTCTATTCAGTCTGAGTCGATACTAACATATACAGTTCATAATTACCGATTTACTACATCCTAACTTTGCTGAACAATGAGCAAAATTCAACTGCATAAACTATTGCAGTCATTTTAGAATGATAAATCATTTCGTGAGTTTTTGCTTTGGACATATATTGCTCCACAAATCTGGCGTCGTTGCCATTCTATAGACAAGATGTCAAAGACATCTTCAGTCACTTGCGGACTCACTTCACACTACGCTAACGAACGAATACGACCAGTGATTATTCGAAGAGATTCTCGAAAAGTGTAAATTTTGACAGAATAAATGAAAGGATTTTGTGCAGAATTTAAGAAAGCCAAAGTGTTAACGTAGGGAAAAATACGTAACATTGTTTGTTTATCGTTCATGTCTCGTGTCGTCATGTAGATTAAGCCCATGATAAGTAGAGGAAGCCAGGAGAGTAGAAACGCACCACAAACTATCGACGTCGTTTTAAACGCTCTTAGTTCATGAAAAAATGTTAACTGTAGTCTTAAAAGGTGACGATGCTTTTGTTTCTTTTCTCCTCCTTGTGAATTATGGCTATCTTCATCTTCAGTAGAATTTGATCTTACAACTCTTTTGACTGCATGTTCCTTTTCAATTTTCTTGCGATGCCTTGTGGCAACGTTAAACAGTCGAATATGAATTACGATTAAAGTGATCATTACCAAGAAACAGAGGAAGCCGACCACTCCATGAATAACTCGTGCTGTTGATTTAGCAACCAGTGCTAGTGCAGTACCAAGGACTATTATGAAACACCAGACTATGACCAACGCTGTAATACACCAACTACATGTATGTTTCAGTTTTTGATGATAAAGATATGGTCTACATATCGCAAGAAAACGATCGACTGATACGACAAGAAGATGAAGTAACGAAGCTAGAACTAAGGCCCAGCGAGACGCCTGCACTACTCGAGCAAGACTTGTGTCCACTATATAGAAAAACGAATAAACATACAATGGCTGTACGCTAGTAATTATCAGTATATCAGAGACAGCTAAGCTTCTTAAGATGATCGTCGAGGGCATCCCGCGACTGTTTTGATGCAGGTTTAACACAGTAACAACCATTATGTTGCCAAGTAGACCAAACGCCATGGAGAAGACGTTGAAAATACACAACGTTGTCTTTTCGATTTCCGTTAGATGGTATATAGGATATGTAGTGAAGTTCATGATGGCTTCTCTTGTCAAATGAGACTTGTCAAATGAGACTATTTCCAGTAAATAACGTGTGTATATTGTTAGTGCGGTTAGAAACGTCGGTGTCACCTGCACAATGCGCAAACATGCATGTATGTATCCAACCAGAAACATTCGAAAGCTTTTATTAAGTAATAAAGTAGGCGTGGCCTATTTTTATTCAATATGAAAATTAAACATGCTTATTGATAATTGAAATTTATAATATGTCAATGTATATGAAAGCATTTCAATTTCATCAACATAGTCATATAAGGTATAAGGAAAATTATAATTGAAATACAAAATGTACTTCTCATCTTGATAACTTCAAACATCTGTCTATACATAACAATATTGTCTTTTTAATTTCTGGCCCACGACAATTACATAATCGTAGATTCTCCTATATTCGCTTCAAGGTTCATTTGCATGTACGTAAAGCAATATTTGACGTTATATAACTAAGGTTTCAAGCAAAAACGATTCATCACAAATATTACTTCCCATAATCCCATAAGACAACGAAAATTTACAGAAATTACCGGACATAAACTTTTTCTATAAAACTACACTAGTTCGTTCGTTTTAATTTGTTTCCGGAATAATTTTTTCTAAAAAAATTTTATTTAAATTTAATCTAAAGTTACTTACTGGAGTTACTCTAAAGTTACTTACTGGAGTTAGAGTTTTCAGCAATATAATCAATTCTAAATTATTCATCAATACATCATTCGCTCGGTTTTGCCTCAGGAAACATTGCCATTGGCAGTCTCGGGTTCACTGTGTTTTTAAAATTCCCGATCGTCAATGAGTGTTCAATATATACGATTTTCAAGTTTATCATGTAGACCTCACTATACAGGGTGTATAAAAAAAAACTGAACAGATTTGAAATTGCTCTCAATTTCGCAAAACACCTATTTGTATCTGGTTTTTTATATATATAGCTTCTTTGGGTACTTATAATGTAAAATAATGAAAAAAATTTCTCGAACTCAAATT